TCTGTTTGGGAAGGTAAAAATATCGGTTTTGGTGCCTCAGGGATAAGGACATGACTTTATTGTTTTGAAGGGAAATGATATCAAAGTTCAGTCTTTGGGAGTAATATGTGTTATTTCGGGTAAGGAAACATGACTTTATTTCGGCTTTGGATGGAGTATAGAAGGTCTAATCTTACCTCTTGTCAAAGATATATAATTAATGAAGTAGTAAAAGAACCTTTAATTCATTCGATATTAAAAGAACTACAAGATTAAAACTTGATTTATTGCTCATAACCTTAGAAAATGACGTAAGTTCAATTAACAAACTATTTATTGAGAAAATAAAGAAAGAATAAAAACACGATAAAAAAGGAAAAAAGCTAGTGCCAAAAGGCTTCACGATGGGTGAAAGATTTATTTTATTTTCACCAAGATGTCTCATGAAAACCTTAAAGGTCAATACCCCTGGGTCAAATAAATTCTGTATCTTGTTCTTCTATGCCCCACATATCTCAATGATGTGCCTCGAACATCAGACAAAACTAACACCACATCTTTAGCTCTCAATTCTTTTCTAGGTACGAAGGGGTGACTTTAATTTACCTCAAACGATTATGCAGGTTACTCCGAGGATCTGTGATTAATACACGTTGAGATGCAATGTATATCATACAATGTACGATGTACAGATGCTAATGCAAAGATGCAAAAATGGGAATGCAAAATGTAAATGCAAAAAAGGAATTGATCCCAAATTAATTGTCATAAAACAACTTCCAAAGAACACACAATGTCTCAATACACTGAGGCAGATGGAAACTAAAAATCACATCATATTGCTCGACTTTTTCAATTTTGATCGAAAATGCAAGGAAACAATCTTCTTTTATCCTTGGCTTGATGGAAAATTCTAATGCTTCTACTTCTTTTCCAGAAATGCATTTGTTGAGCGACCATATGCCACTAACATCATCCACTGTCTCATGTTGGCTATCATTATTGCTTGATGACTTCGAACATATTATTTCTTTTCGGCTAGTTGTATCAACACCGTCGTAGCACCCTTGAAAAACTTGTTTTACTGCATCATTTGAGCTTCATGTATTCCAGCTTGATGTACCTCTTCAGCCTTTTCCTGGAGCACCCTTCTGAACCATTGATGCATTTTTTACATTTCTATTCTACCTCTTCGTACTGTTGTATTGAAAGCCTTCTAATGTAACTATTAACTCGATAACCAATACCTTCTATGACATGACATGTACGAAACATGTGTTAATTTCAAGGTAATTATCCTAGAACAACTTTTAAAGAACTAACAATGTCCCAACATATCAAAGCAGATACAAAATATTTACCCCTTTCGTATGGCATTGTCATTTTAAAAGCCTTCTAATTTTGATAAATATGTCAGGTATTAACAACATGTTTATGCAAAAAAAAAAAATTAAGCAACATGACAAGGAAAATATGTTAGCAAAAATAATAATCAAAGAGAATAAATATATGTTAGTGGAATATGAAAAGATTAAATTCGGTTGGTAAATGAACCATAAAATATAGTGAATAAAACATATAGAGGAAATTAAAACCCTAACTGCATAATTTCAATTTCACATGCAATTATTCAAAAAGAATATATCGAATAAATTAAAAGACGAAGGTTAGAGTTCATTTCTCCTTTGTGTAAACTTATTTGGGTACATATAGACAAAGTTTCAGCATGGTCTTAGATGGGTAGGTTTCTATAGTTTACTATATTTAGATTTTTGGTTCTATGAGTAAAGGTACTCAAATTGTCATTGTCGGTGCCCCCTTAGGTGAGCCTGAACCTCAATCCTCACCCATTATAGGCTTAAGTGGATCGAGTTTAATTCGAGAGGGCACATTTCCCTATGCCTAACACGGAGAATAAATCCTCACGAAGACATTGAGTATATGAACCCTGAAAGCTACTTGGTAGATGTAACTCAGAGAATAAATTCTCACGAAGACGTCGCTTTCACTCTTACTTAAAAAGGAAGAGCTCGGGTATAGAGCTTATGTTATGTAATGCAATGTTGTGTGTGCAGAGAAATTCTCAAACCTTTGACAAACAACCACACTAAAATCGAGCTAAAACAAATCCGAAATTTCAATATCTAAAATCAATCAAATACAAACATTAATATACAAGGATATGAAATAAAATAAAAAATTGAAAGAAATCAAAAGAATCATAAATTAAATAAAACTTAATTCTCAATTTCTAACTATAGAGATAATATATAATCGATTTAGGGCTTGATCCACTAAGTACCCAGCGAAGTCGCCAAGCTTTCGACACTGTTTTTCGCCCTGGTGGGGGAAAACATTAGTACGACTTGGGGGTTTTCTTTAAAAAGGTTTTGAAATGTTTTGGAGTCGCCATCGACTTTTTGGGTTAGGTAAGTCGAATACCTAAAAAATTTATTTTAAAAGAGTTTTTAAGAAAACATCATTTTAAAAGATAAACCAGTCTACGTGTAACCAGAGATTCATTCTTTTTTGTAATAAAAAAAAGGGTTCGGGAATCAATTACGTGTGGGGAATGATAAGCACCCCCACAACGCCCAAAATTGGTACCCCAACGATTATAAATTGTCTCTAATAGTGAAAATCTAAGAATTTGAATATAAATTTAAATTATGATTCCATTATTCCAAATTCAACCATACAATTTTTATTGAACAGAAAATTCTAAGAGGAAATAGAAAATATTCCAATATTTCCAATCGAAGAGAAAATAATTCCTAAAATACTCTAGGACAAATATTTCCCTTTCCAACTGAATGAAAAGGAATATAATAATTTCTCCCAAGAATTCAAGATTAAAATAATTTAATTCGACCAAATAAAAAATTAAGCCAATTAATCCAAATTATATATATGATTAGAAAAGATAAGGGATATTCAATTATTTACAAATATCGAGACTTAATCCCTAATAAAATTAGGTGAATTGTCTCGACAAGTTTAAAAAAAAAAGAAAATTTCATTTTCCCTTTAATCTTGATTAATTTAAACATACTCTATTTTTTAGGTTATTCTAGTAGGATATTTATTTATTTTAAAACATCATAATAGGACATCTAGTTACTTTAAGACAGTTCCTTCTTAATATTTCAAAATAAATAAATACTACCCTTAATCCAATTATGTAATCGGTTGAGTTATGCTTATGAGGCTTTAGTATATATTCGAAATGTATGGATCTATATGCACAAACAATTTTACAAGGAAAACTCTAAAAAATAAAATACCAATTAATAACAAATAAATGAAAATTAAATGCAATTCAATGTTGGAAGTAAAACTTTGACTAGGGATTGGCATGGGTCGGGTTTTTGGTCCACTCGACCCGACCCGAGAACAAGGGAGCATCCACCTGAGACCTGACCCGACCAAAACAAGAGTTCACCCGACCCGAACCCGACCCGATATATAACTTAGAAATTCGACCCAACCCGACCCAAAATAATAAAAAATATTATTTTTATTCAATAAAAGCATTGACTTAATTGAAAAAATTTATATATAGAGGGGTATTATTGTAATTATTCCTAAATATATAAGGTAAAATTATATTTTTTTGGGTCGGGTCGGGTATTTTTCACCCTAAACCCAAACTCGACCCGACCCCGAATTATTTTTAAGAAAACCCAACCCGATCGAGTCAGAACCCGTCGGGTTTGGGTCCCATGCCCATCCCTAACTTTGACTAATTAACAAGTGAATACTTAAAATATAAATAGTATGAATCATAAATAATAACAAATACAATAATGTGCTAACTAGGGCCAAAATCGAAAGATATAAAATACTAAGCTCAAAATAAGAAACTTGAAAATATACGAGTAAATGTTGAAAATTACTATTAAATACAATGATATTTAAATAAATACATACATGTGGTACATACACATAAAATACATGAGAATATGAAACATAAACATATATTAAAATACAATGAGCAAAATGCAACAAATAAGAAAAGCAGTACCAAATCGGGAATAAATAGTGACTAAAATAAAATATCAGACAATCAAGTGTCAAAATTAGAAATAAATAAAACATGAAATATGACATATCGTTGACTAAATTGAAATTAATAAAACTAAAGTGCTAAAAACAAAATAAATAAAAACATAGAGACATAGGGACTAAAATGTAAATCACGCCTAAAAGTACAGGAAATAAAAGGAAATTAAACCAAAAATACATAACATGCATCAGAAATGGGTAAACTATAAAAACAATCCTTGCAGGTGACCATTTTACAAAACACACCAAACTTAGGGGATTTAAAGTGCGATTTCCCTTAAATGTTTCTATAAATATCAATATTTTTTCTTTTTCTTTTTTATTTCATTTTTATTTAAATTAGATTTTAGAGAGAGATGGGACTCTCTCTAGAAAACTGGCTGATCGTCGATGGTTATATACCTCTATTACAAATGAAAAATCAAAAGAAATCCCTTTTCTAATTTGGGCACTGTTGGGGCTGTTTGCAGGAAGTGGAGATGGAGTGTTGCAGACGCGAGTGGTAGGGCATGAGAGGGTTGGTGCATGGCAATGGTGACAAGAAATCGGCACAGGTGCATGGCGAAGGGGCATGGTGTAGCTGGCAACTTTACGTGGGCATGACAGACAGTTGGTGGCCAATCAAGTCAGGTCAATTAATCAGGTCAAATCTGGGTCTGATGTTGGGTCGAGTCTTGTATTTGTGTTGGGCTGCTGGGTCACTAATTATACTTGTAGTGGGCTGTTAGGTTGGCTTGTTGTAATGAGCTTTGGGTAATTGGGTTTCGTTTTGTGACGTTTGGCCTACACAATGTAAAAAATAATAATAATAATAATAATAATAATAATAATATATTAAAAAAGGGGACGAAAAACGAGTGTGACAACATAGATTTCTCAAAGGTCTATTCTTTTATTTTTTTAATTTTTTTCACATCACCCATTTTTTTCGAAATAAATCAATTCAAAATAGGAATATAAGGGGAAGAGATGAAACGTTCACTTGAGTCGGAGTTCTCGCCGCCAAGAACGTTATCTTCTAGGAAGGACGAGACAGTCGAGAGGTTAGAGGCCCTTTAGGCCCCCGTTTTTGGGTTTTTCATGTTGATTTAGGGGCTCTTTTCTTTGGGTTTAGACGAAAGGGGGAAGTTTGGTTTCTGTCTAGGTCGTTCTTTGGGTTCGTTCAACCACTGTAGCTAGTGGACCAGGTGAGAGCAGCGTCGATTTACGGCTAGGAGGCGACGATGTTGTGTTCTAGGGCCTCGATGAAGAGAAAGAAAAAGTTCGGAGGCGAAGTAGGGGCTTTAGCTTTCTTTTCGGAACTCCTTGGTCGAGTTCATCACTGGTCGGATTTTGAAACCGGCTCCAACGTGCGGTGACCGGTGGCGTTTTCTTGGGTCTTGGAGAGATGAGTGGTGCCGCATGGCAGAGGGAAGTTTGAGAGAAGATAGTAGAAAATGAAAGTTTGTTTAATTTTAGAGTTAGTGTTAGGTTTAGTTTTAGGCTTTTTTTAATTAGTAAATTAGGTATTATATTAAGAGTTTGGTTTATTCACCCTTTAGGCTCCCATATTTACCGCGTATATACATATTAGTCACTAAAGTCTTTTTTATTATTTTAATTTCGGCATATTTTTCGATTTTGGTCACCATTTCTTCTATTTTGTTTATTTCAATTTAGCTACTGGTTCTTTAATTATTGCATTTTAGTTACTTGCATTCATGCTATTTTACTTTAATTTAGCACTGTGTTTTATTTTATTATACTTTAGTCATTGTTTTTAATTTATTATTGCTCTAGTTATTCGAACAAATTCTACGGCCTTGTGGCAAGCTGTCATGGGATACGGCCCACATTATTATGGCCCAGGTAAAATTCTAACATTTTACTAATTTCTAACTTCTAACCACTAACTTACTAATTTCTAAAAGAAAATATATTCGAATTAATTTACGAATGACTCACCCTAGAGTATGATTTACGTTATTTATGGTCCGGGTAACAATTAAAAATTAACCCCTAACTTTTAATATTATTCTATTATTTTTTTTTATTTACAATTTTCCCTTTAAATTTTTGTTATTTTAATTTCAGTGTCTATATTTTAGTCCTTTAAATTTTAGCATTTAATTTTCTGCATTGTTTTAATTTAATCTTTATATTCTGATTTATTTTTGTTATTTACAGTTTTGATCTTTAAATTTCAGCATTTATATTTCAGTCCTTTAAACTTTAGCTTTTAATTTTCTGAATTGTTTTAATTTAATCTTTATATTCTGATTTCTTTCATTTTAGTCCTTTATTTAATGTTTTAATTTTAATTCTTTTTTTCATTGTTTCAATTTAGTCATTTTTGTATTTCGTTACCTTTACTTTTTTTTCTCGCTAATTTTGCTTCATTCTAGTTTAGCCCTTGATAAGTTATTTATATTTCAAATTGAACCCTTAAATTTAGACTCCTCTTAATTTAATCACTGATAAATCACTTGTCTCTTTAGATTTAGTCCTTAAAGTTAGACCCTTTTTAATTTCAAACTTGATCAAAATTGACTAGGTCAGTAATTAGAGCCTCCATTTTAGTATTAATTTCAAACTTAATCCTTAAATTTAGGTGAATATTTAATTTGATCCTCACTTTTGCTTGATGTTCCATTTTAATTATTTGAATTAAATAATTGGTTAAAATTGAATAGGTTAATAATTAGAGCCTTCATTTTATAATTAATTTCAAACTTAATCCTTAAATTTAGTTAAATTTTTAATTTGGTCCTCACTTTTTCTCGAGGTTCCATTTTAATTATTCGAATAAAATAATTTGGTTAAAATTAATTAGGTTAATAATTAGAGACTCCATTTTTAGGTTTAATTTCATAACTAGTCTTTTAAATTTAGGAGAATTTTTGATTTGGTCCTCGCTTATGCTCGAGGTTCATTTTATTATTCAATTCAATAATTCATTAAAAATGACTTGAATTAATATAGAGCCTACATTTTTAGGTTTAATCTCTTAGGTTCTTTAAATTTCATAATTTGCTCCTTTAAGTTAGAGGGAAGCCCTTAATTAACTCATTTAGTATAATTAGGTTCAATAACCGTTTGTTTGATTGCATTTTGTTTTAAAAATAAGGCAATGTTCATTTGTTAGGGGGTTAGTACTGTATCTCCCGTTTTTTCTCGGGGGTGACCGCTATAGATTCCCGAAGTGAATCAACATCATTTTCAAAATCTTGCATCATGATTCAAAATTATTAAGGCAATGTTTATTTATTTTGGTTGATAACGAAGTTTCTGTTTTTGTTTGGGGGTGGTCGTTATCAATCTTGGTAAATTGGCATCCTTTTTAAAATATGCATGCATAGTGATTTTTAAATTAAATAAAATTCCGAACTAAAATTTTTTATTTTTTTAAATATAGGGTAATCGACTAGGTATCAATTTTAGGCGTTATGGGGTTGTTTGTAACAACCCGATTTTCAAAATAATATTTAATTGAAATTGGAGGGTTTAATTGTGAAAATTTGGCGAAAATTGGGACTGAATTGAAAGATTTTAAAACTTGGAGCTTGTTTTAAAGTTAAAGAAAATTCAGGGACCAAGCCCTGAATTTAACCTTGGAGTGTCGGCAGGCAATTGTTATATGCGTGATTTCTGTTTTGAAAAATAGAAATCAATTTCACAAATCCTTCCTCACGCACACAACTTCCAAACTCGATTCCGACGTCGTCCGAATTCCGATCGTTGTTTGAAACCACCGTTGTGTTCATCATCGAGCGAGGAACAAACCCTTCAAATTAATTGAAGCGAAACGCGGCCAAACGTCGGGAATTTCCAGTCAAAGTAGCGACGTTTTTGTTAGCTCTATCGCTGAGAAAATCTTAAATTCACCACTGATCGTTGCTCCGTTTACGACACCTCCCGCACCATCGTGTTCCTTGTGCCGTTCCGAGTCCACCGGTGTTCCCCTTTTTCTCCGGCGGCAAGCGGCGCGTGGGGAGGTGAACCGGTCAAACTTCTCGATTTGATGAATTCGAGCTCTCCGACGTTCAATAATTTTTAGAAATTTTTTCGTAATTTTTAGAGCCCCGGAGGACACCTCACGCGCCACACGCGCCGCCGTCGGGCGAGTGAGTGACCGGTTCAACCGGTTTTCTTAAGGGTTTGACCGGTTTGACCGGTCACGACCCGATCGGTTGACCCGACCCGACCCGTTGACCCGACCCGTTGATCGGTGCTATTCTAGTAAATAATTCAGTTTTAGTGCTATTCTGGTAAATAATTCATTTTGGTGCTATTTCAATAAATAATTTGGTTTTGGTTCTATTCTGGTAATTATTTTAAAAAGGGTGCTATTTGTGTAAAATGTTCAACAGTTTGTTGACCTCCTTTGACTAGAACTTTGACCAGCTTTGACCGGCTATTAAACGATCATTAATCTTTTCCGAGTATACCTATCCTGATAGTTTTTGACGTGCCGAATCCGTTTCCGTGGTCTGTTTTGTCAAATTCGAATCCGAATGTCTCTAAATTGACGGTCAAAGTGGTTGACTTTGACTTTGACCAAGAATTTGAATTTTCGGAAAGTCATACTTTATGTTTTTCGACGCCCTGATTCCGATTCCGCAATCCGTTTGGCCAAATTCAGACTCGAAATACCTCAAATTGATAGTCAAACCTGAAAAAATGCTTATATACTTAAGAAGTTTAGCTTTGAACAATTACATAGGATTTGAGACTGATAAATATTATTGTTTGAAGGTACAAGAGACTCTCCGGATCGTTCGACAGCTCGACCCAGCTCTTCTAGATCAGTTAAACCACGTGTGTCAGTATTCACCCGTTCGAAAACTGTAGCAGAGCGTGGTGAAACCAGCAATCAGTAGATTTGCTATTTGAATCTATTGTCGAGGTGTGTTCCCTACTTATTACTGAACTATTTTATTGGTTTTAATATGTGGTACACCGAATTCATTGGTTATTGTTTTATTGATGCACCAAGTTAATGTGACAATTTATGGAATATGGCTGCTATCTAATTTTTGTTTTGAAATGGTATATGATTACCATGTTTTTGGATTTATGGAATTTATGTCACGGTGCAATTGAATTTTGGAATTGAATTACGATGGAATAGCTCTGATCAAGCTAACTGGGCCTAATGTGACTCTTGAGGGCCCCAAGATGTTTCATTAGGTCGGCTTTCCTTTGCTGTGTGCTTAGGGTAAGCTATATGGACTTATTGACTTGGGCTTAAGGATACAAGCTTCAGAGCCTATCCTTAAGTCGGCTTTCTTTTTGCTATGTGCATAAAGTAAGCTTTATGGAAAATAATTTTGGGAACTACTGATGGTGTACCAGAAAAGGGTTTAAACTATGATTTTCAAAAAGTTAAACTCTTTTACGAATTTGTGAGATTACTAGACTATGATTTGTACCTATTTTGATTTTATGGAAATGTTGGGACACACTGAGCCTAGCTTACCTTTTGAAAATGTTTTCCCCCTTTCAGATACTGTTGGTTAGATACCTCGGTTCGAGCACTTGGAGGATCAACATATCTCTTGAAGTAAATCAGATTGTAATATTTTTATCTGGCAAGTTGACTTTATTTTGGTGATATGGACCTTATTTTAAAATATCGGATTTTATAATAATGACTTTTTTGCTAATACTGCTCGGTTTATTGTGATTTTGAATTTGAATACATGTTTTAAATTAAATTATTATTTATTGGTACTATATTTACGAGTTGGATTTTGATAGTATAATTTGTTTATAATTTCATGTTATTTATAATGTGATTTTATAGTGATTGAATAACGGTTTCGAAAAATGTCTTTAATAATCATAATGTGATCCACTAGACTTAGTCGAAAGGCATAGGCCGGGTCTAGGGGGCTACATTTATTGGTATCAGAGCTTTTGGTTTTTAACCCTCAGACTGTGTATGAGTTCACATTGAAAATACAGTTTTGAAATATTTTACAAAACGAGTTACTAAGGCCATGTCACAAAGTTATTAAGATTTTAACTATGTTCGAGACTCCAAGTGCTTATCTAACCTTAAGTTTATCTTCTGTAGTAATCTCGAGATCTACCAAAATGAGTGCAAGACGTGGTCGTCGAACTAGTCGTGGACGAGGTCGAGTGGCTAGATTTGCAGATCCGATTGATGAGATACGAGTAGATCCCCCACCTCCGATAGGTGATCATGCTCCTACAAGCCCAACGAATATGCCACCTACCGATGGTATTGGCATGACTACACCGATCATAGGAGCGATCGATATTGGGTCAGAGTCTACTAGAGTTGCATTGGATGAGAATTTTAGTAGATAGTTTCTGCAGTTAATACAGGGAGCAGTTAGAGCTACTGGTGTTGTATCTGAGGTTCCTATTTCACAGACGTTGATTGCCAATGGAGTTAGAACTTTTGGGAGACAGATTGGTGGAGCTCCTACTGAAGCTGAGGATTGGCTCCAGGATACAGAGAGACGCATGGATCAGTTGGGTTTGGACTCAACTAAGAGATATCTGGGTGTTGTAGCAATGTTAGATGGTAATGCCTACACTTGGTGGGAGTCAGTGACCAGTAGTGTTCCTACCGATCGTTTGACCTGGAATTTCTTTAAGGATCGCTTTCGGAGTCGTTTTCTGGGAGAGCGCTACTTAGCTCATAGACGACAACAGTTTCAAGACTTGGTTCAGGGAGACATGACTGTTTCTGAGTATGAGATCGAGTTCTTGAAGTTGCTGAAGTATGGATTCAGTATGGTACCTACTGAGAGAGATCGATGTCGTAAATTTGCCCTTGGACTCAGATACGAGCTGCGTAGGCAAGTTGTAACCCATCAGGATGAAATATTTGATGTGCTGGTGGGCAGAGCCAAAGATGCTGAAGAGGTGGAAGTTTTAGCTTCTGGTAGAGAACGTGTTGATCAGGAACGATCTAAAAAATTTTCAGGCCCGATGGAGTCATCAGCACAGTCCGGGAAGAGGACTCGTACTTCAGCCCCTCAGAGAAGCAATACATATTTCAGGCCTGCAGCATCCTCACTGTTAGTTGGCAGTCGAGGCGGTTACTCGTCGTATTATAATGGGCCCCTTTGTGAGTATTGTGGTAAACAACACTCAGGAGAGTGTCGTAAGAAGATGGGTATTTGCTATCAGTGTGGATCTAGTGGTCATTATCGAAGGGATTGTCCTCAGCTAGTTTCGTTTGAGTAGACCACTACCCAAACTCCTGTGCGTTCGCAGACTACAATACAGACCCCAATTAGAGATCGTAGTCAAGGAAAGACTCGAGGATCAGCGTCCAGGACAGACAGTAGAGCCCGACCCCAGCAAAATAGAGGGCCAACAGCTTCTGAGGCTAGACAGCTAGCTTTAGTTTATGCAACTAGACGTCGTGATGACAGAGATGAGCCTGAGGTTATTACAGGTACATTTACTATTTATTCTACCCCATACTTTGCATTATTGGACAATGGCTCCACTCACTCCTATGTATCGAGCTCAGTATCTCGAAACCTTCAGATTCCGATCGAGAACTCTGAAAATACTGTTATAGTTACAAGTCCAGTAGGACAAGCGGTATTAGTGAATAAAGTATTCCGGCGTTGCCCTCTCGAGGTTCAGGGAGAAATTTTTCTCGCTGATCTTATGGAGCTTCCTTTAGAGGAGTTCGATCTAATTCTTGGAATGGATTGGTTGAATAAACACAAGGTAAAGCTGGATTGCGAATACAAGCGGGCTACTCTGAAGACTTCAGATGGTCGGACTGTTGTGTTAATTGGTGAACGGCGTGGTTATCTCTCCAATATAGTTTCAGCGATGGAAATTGATCGTATGATCCGGAATGGATATGAGACCTTCATTGCTTGTATTTTAAACACCAAAGGTGCATTGTCCACGATCGAGGAGATTCGTACAGTTAGCGAGTTTCCTGATGTTTTTCCGGAGGAGTTGCCTGGGTTACCTCCTGATAGAGAGGTAGAGTTCGAGATTGAGACTTATCCGGGATCTTCACCTATTTCTATGGCACCTTATCGTATGGCTCCAAAGGAACTTAAGGAGTTGAAAGTCCAATTGCAAGAATTATTCGATCGAGGATTTATCCGACATAGTACTTCACCATGGGGAGCTCCAGTTCTGTTCGTGAAAAAGAATGATGGGTCGCTAAGATTATGTATTGACTATCGGAAATTGAACAAGATGACGGTCAAGAATAAATACCCACTACCCAGGATTGATGACTTATTTGATCAATTGCGAGGAGCTACTGTATTCTCTAAGATTGATCTTCGTTCGGGGTATTATCAATTGAAAGTTAAATGATCTGATGTTGCAAAAACGACCATTCGCACTAGATATGGTCATTATGAATTTTTAGTGATGCCTTTTGGTTTGACGAACGCTCCTGCAGCTTTCATGGATTTGATGAATCGGTGTTCGACCATATTTGGATCAATTTGTGGTGGTCTTCATTGACGATATTCTGATCTATTCTCGTACTGAGGCAGAGCATGACGAGCATTTGAAGATCGTTCTGCGGACTTTGAGAGAGCATCGTCTATATGCCAAACTAAGCAAGTGTGAGTTTTGGCTTCAAGAAGTGTCGTTTCTGGGGCATATTATTTCTGCGCGAGGTGTTCAGGTCGATCCCAGCAAGATAGAGGCTATTATGAATTGGAAACGACCTAAGAACGTATCTGAGATCCGTAGTTTCTTGGGCTTGGCTGGTTATTATCGACGTTTTGTTGAGGGCTTCTCGATCATTGCTTCTCCTTTGACAAAGTTGTTAAGGAAGAATGTGCCATTTGACTGGGGCGAGGCACAACAGGAGAGCTTTGAGAAATTAAAGGCGGTTTTGACTCAAGCACCGGTGTTGATTCAACCAGAGTCCGGGAAGGATTTTACAGTGTATAGTGATGCTTCACATTCAGGACTTGGTTGTGTTTTAATGCAGGAAAGTAAGGTGGTGGCTTATGCATCCCGTCAGCTGCGGCCGCATGAGAGTAACTATCCTACTCACGATTTAGAGTTGGCAGCAATAATTTTTGCCTTGAAGATTTAGAGACACTATCTTTATGGAGAGAAGTGTTACATTTTCACAGATCATAAGAGTTTAAAGTATCTTCTGACCCAGAAGGAACTTAATTTGAGACAACGTCGCTGGTTAGAGCTTCTAAAGGATTATGATTGTGTGATTGATTACCACCCTGGTAAAGCTAACATTGTAGCGGATACTTTGAGTCGAAAGACGGTATCGGAGTTGAGGTCTTTAATGGCCAAGATGAATTTATATGACGATGGCACTTTGTTAGCAGAATTGCAAGTTAAGCCGACTTTGGTTGATAAGATCAAGGCTAAGCAACCCCTTGATAGCTCATTGCTTTCCATCTTTGAGCAAGTAGAGCAGGGGACAAACTCAGATTACGTAATTGATCAGGATGAAGTTTTATGCTTTAAAGGTAGATATTGTGTGCTTAATGATGCTGAGTTGAGGCAGATTATCCTTACTGAGGCTCATAGTAGTCCATATGCTATGCACCCCGGAGGAGATAAGATGTACCAGAATTTGAGAGAGAGGTATCATTGGATTGGGATGAAGAAAGACATCTGATTTTGTGGCTAGGTGTTTGACTTGTCAACAAGTTAAGACAGAACATCAACATCCATCAGGTTTGTTACAGCCTATCAAGATTCCTGAATGGAAATGGGAGCGTATTACTATGGATTTTGTTACTGGCTTGCCTATGACTCCTTCGAAAAAAGATTCAGTTTGGGTGATTGTTG